ACGTCAGCCTTCCTGCTCCTCTGATGCTGCTTGGCCTGCTGTGTTCATCCAGCTCTACGCCTTGTTATCTTAGCTAACTGGCCTGTAGTTTCCTTTTTTTAGTCTCCCGACCCTTTTTTAATAAGCAAAGTGCTAAATGACCTGGTGAGTGTTTCCAACATTTTCTGCTTTTACTTAGATGGCTACTCAGTGCAAGAATTTTAAAAAGTATATTCTTTGAATGTATTTCAGGATAAATCAATTTCAATAGGATGAATAATATACTTGGCAGGAATGGCTAACATTAAAATATTTTAATTGATCAACAATTCCTAAGTTAAGGTTATGAACACACAGAAACAACAAAAACATTTAATTTTTTTGGTTGGATCCTTCCCGAATGACTATGCAGCTAATTGAATATTAGTGGTTCTCCAAAACCTTACATGATTTGGAGTCCTAGGCTAAACTGCACTAATGTTCTGCCTACAATACACTGAAAATAAATTAATGATTAGATGCCAAATTTTATTAGATGACCTAAATCAGGGTCTTGAGGGACACAATATACTGCGTAATAGCTGAAATGAAATTTAACTAAACAAAACAGGCAAAGACACAACTGGTTATCAGGCACTGCATTTCTTTCCATTTCTGTCAAAAGGAAACAATTGTATTTTCCCTGCTGCCAGCTGTTCACCGTTACAACTGAATGGAGTTAGCAGCTTGATCTATTCCCTGGGACAGGTGATCCAAATTCAGTACTGGAGTGCTGCTTGTCAGAGATGAAGGGAGTTTAATTCTTTCTGTTGAAAATTTGAGTTGATCTGGGGATAAAACAGGATTCTAATAGTGGAATTTCTTCCTCCCTGGTCTACAACGAACAATGGCCAGAAATTTAAATATTGTAAAAAGGAGGCTAGACGTTGAAGCTTTTCATCCTCCAATCATCAGAACTAGAATGCAAGAAACGGACGTGCGTAAAATGGAAGTCTTCATTTTATATGGCATAAGAAGAGGGTGCTGATTGGTTGAGCTATCAGTGGCATGGAGGCGCAGCAAGAACTGTCAATCGTAAAGCTTTATTAATTCAATAAGAATTGAAAGATTGACAGTTAACAGTACTTGCTGCTTCTTCATGCCAGTGTTGGCCTAATCAATCAGCACTTTCTTGCACTGTTTCTTAGCGCCAAGGGAGAAACAGTGGTTTGTCACAGAGAGGAGCACTGATCAGTGAAAGGGTTTGACATATTTCTATATGTCAATGACACACCTGTAGCATGTGTCAACAGTTTATCTGGCAAACACTCTGCATGTGGTCCAAGTAAATAGTGATTTATGAAAGAAAAAGGTGAGCAATCTTTACTGGGGTCAAGGGGACTACAGATAGTCAAACAAGAAGCTTATACATGGTCAGTCAGGTGGTTGGTCCTACAGAGTCTAAGGATCTGTGTCTTTGCAGTCTGGGGATTGGGTCACAGCTGGACCTTCACGGCAAAGTGAACCAGTCTGGAGATTACAGGATATCTGTTGGGGTATTGTGGAGACAGTCTGGAGGCTGGGCTGCAACCAATCCGACCAAGTTAGTCCAGGGATGGGCCACATCTCTCCAAGGCATTTGGTCAATACTGGGCAGGGAGTTTATTAGGGGTCATTCCAAGGCGTTTTGGGGAAAGGGAGTAAATCAAGCTTGGTGATGCGTTTTACTGTACTGTATCACTGAGTAAGTGCTAACTGCCATAGGGGGCAATTGGAGATCAGAGGGTGAAACAATAGGAGGGGACTAGGAGCTCCAGAGAAGGTAAGGGGATTTCAAATGGGTTATGGTAACTCTGGTATCTACATGGGGAGGGTCAAGGGCTAGCAAGGGCATGGAATTTTCATAATTCATTGGCTCCAGGAGTAAAGTGGGAGCATTAATAGTTGTATAAAACGGGGCTG